GAACACATTCAGGACTGTATCTGTTTGCTGAAAATCTTTAAGTGGTATTCAGTCAATTCGTGAAGTCTTATTCTTTGCCAATGCCTTCAGTAGAGTGTGAATATTTTCCTTCAGTACTATTGGTTCTTGATCATATGCTACTTCCTGAAATGGTTCAGTTTCAACCAATTCTTTTTGGTACAGTGACTCTGTGTATTCTATCTTCTTTAATGCTTCTTGTATCATTCACTATTTTGCCACTGTCTTCTTCAATATTACAACTCAAAGCTTGAATTTGTTCTTCAGTTCTTTTAGTTTGAGAAATGTCAAGCATGTCCTTTCTTCTTGTTTTTCTAACTTCAGGTCTTTGTACATTTCGTTATAATACTTTGTTTTGTGGTCTTGAATTGTCTTTTGTTCAGCTTCCTTATTTCATCATGTCTGGCTTTTGCTTTAGCTTCACTATATTGAAGAGCAAGTCTGAGTCTCTTCTCATATCCATTTTGGTCTTTTATTTTTTTTTCTTTGTCTTTCTCATGATCTTTTGATTTCTCCATGGATGATGTCCTCTATTCCATGACTTATCTGGTCTTTGATCATTAGTGTTCAATGAATCAGATCTATTCTTGAAATGTTTTTAAATTCATGTGGATAAGGATGACAGAAAAATAGATGCCTTTGAGCTGTTGTGTTGGAGAAGAGAACTGAACATCCCATGGACAGCCAAGAGAAAAAAACATATATTTTGAAGAAGGTGCAGCTGGAGGGCTCTTTGGAGACAAGACTGATAAGGCTTTGCCTCATATACTTTGGGCATGTTGCTAGAAGGGACTATTCCTTGGAGAAAAACATGATGCTGGGAAGGGTTGAGGGTCAGAGAAGGAAAGGAAGACCTCAACAAAGTGGATTGACATGATAATGGGCTCTTGCATGTCAGGAAGTGTGAGTATGCACAGGATAGAACAGGGTTCAGATCCACTGTTTATAGTGCTGGTATGAGTCATATTCGACTTGACAGCCTCTAATAACGAACAATAAACTCAAGGTTATATTTTGGCTCTGGTGAACTTGTTTTAGTTTTCTTCAGACAATTTGAACTTGCATATGAATAAACTGATGGTATGTTCCACAGTCAGCCCCTTGTCTTGTTTTGACTACTGATATTGAACTTCTCCACTGTCTCTTTCCACAGATGTTGTCATTTGGTTCCTTTGTGAAGTCCACACGTATGGTTGTCATTTATATATATATTTTAAAAAGTATTTGCAGTAAATAAAGAATTCATTGTACAAAATTCTATCACATGATCTCCAGCCTCATTTCTGCCACTAAGGTCATATTTTCCAACCACCTATGCTTCTTTTTATTTCCAACTTTTGTGTTCCAGTCACCAATTATTATTAATGTATCTTGAGTGTATGTTTGATTATTTCTGACTGACTGCAGAAGTAGAAACTCTCAGTTTCTTTATCTTTGGCATAAGTGGTTGGCATTTATATTTGCATAATAGCTTTATTAGCAAGTCTTCTTTGTATTGATATGGATACTACTCTATCACAAATTATATATCAGGATAGATTTCACAATGTTCTTTTTTCCCGCTTTTTAAATTTTTATTGTATTATTTTTACGTGTACCATCAAATCAGATCTGACTGGTACAGGAGGAGATTGCCCCCTCCTTCTCCAGCAGAGCATCTGGTACCTCTGGGATTGCAGTGCAGCATCTTGCCACTAGGCCACCAGAGCTCCCACAATGTTCTTTTAAACTATGAATTCTACATCATATAAATTTATCATTCCCAGATCATATGATTGTGTGATTCAAAATTACCTATACCAGTATATTTCAGCTCACTAGTGGCTAGGAAGGGAGCTCTGGTGGCTTAGTGGCAAGAAGCTGTGCTGCAATACCAAAGGTACTCAGTTCAAATTCACCAGCTTCTCTGAGGTGGAAAGAAGAGCAATCCTTTAATGTGATTAACTGCCTCTGAAAACCCACCAGAGGGTCAGCTATGGGTCGGTTCTGACTTGATGGTACACAACAACAACCATGCCTAGGATGTTGATCTTTATGCATTCCATTTTATTTTTTACAACTTCCAATTTCCTGGATTCATACTTTATACACTCCACATTCCAATTATTAATGGATGATTGCAACTCTTTTACTTCATTTTGAGTCTTGCCACATCAGCAAATGAAGGTGTCTCCCAGGGTGAAAGCTTTACTTCATCCATCATTGGCCACCTCTTCTCCAGTTGCATTTTGTGTGCCTTCCAATCTGAGTGGTTTATCTGGCACCATCCTGAGCAATACTGCAATGTAACATAGGGATTTTGAGTGCCTGTTTTTTTCAGAAGTGAATAGCCAGTCCTGTTTCCAAGAGTGTCTTAGTCTGGATATGCTGCTGAAATCTTTGCACTAACAGTGATCTTGCTGGTATTTGAAATATCAGTGGCCTATCTAACCAGCTAGTAGTGGATCCTGGCTGTATTTCTTCTAAAACTGATTTGCTCATTATTCTTGTAGTCCACTGTGTATTCAATATTCTTGGCCAAAAGCGCAGTTTTAATGCATCAGTTCTGTCTTGTTTCCCTCACTGGCTAACTTTCACTTGAATACAGGGCTGAAAAGATCATAGCTTTTTCATTAAAGCAGTATTTTTAATTTTTAAAACTTCAAAGCAATCTTTTTTGCAGTATATATGTTCAACGTAATCTGTATATGCTGACTCGACGGCACATAACAACAACAACACTTTCATGGATGTTGTATCAATTTTACTAAGTGAATGAAATGAGTAAGAATTATTTTTTCATTTATTATGATGCTTTTTACAGATCTATTGCTGATAGTTGCAACCTAGTCAATTCCAACTCTCAGTAACCCTCTAGGTGCAGAGTAGAACAGCTTTAAAAAGTTTTCAAGGTTGTGATGATTTGGAAGCAAATGGCCAGATTTGTCTTCCAAGATACTGCTGGATGAGTTTGAACTGTCAGCCTTTTGCCTAGAAGTCAAGTGTTTGTTCATGGGCACCACCTAGAAAACGGTTTATAGGTCTTTGTGTGAGTGTTTTAATTTTCTTCTCATCAAAGTGTAATTCATATTAAAGGATGCAGCACTGACCTTCATCAGTGCTTCATTTTGGGTTTTTTTGGCAAGCGAGATGTGTCATCTGCTCATGGCAATATGTTAAGAGGAACCCCTCTGATCCATATCCCATTTTCTTTTTATTTTTTTAATTTTTAAATTTTTATTGTATTATCTTTACGTGTACCGTCAAATCAGATCTGACTGGTACAGGAGGAGACTGCCCCCTCCTTCTCCAGCAGAGCATCTGGTGGATTTGAACCGCATACTTCTGGGATTGCAGTGCAGTGTCTTACATATCCCATTTTCTTAATGTTATTGTTGTTAAGTGCCAGTGAAGTTGTTTGTGGATTTATAGCTAGAGCGGCCTAGTTAGTCCATAATGAGTTGCACTGATCATTTAAGGTTGCATCTCTCTGTTGATTGGAATACAAGTGAGAAAGCTTGCTAATATGGAGCTCTGGTGGTCTAGTGGCAAGAAGCTGCGCTTCAATCCCAAAGGCATGTGGTTCAAATCCACCCACTGCTCCATAGGAGAAGGATGGGCAATAACTCCCCATGTGATTAACTGCCTCTGAAAAGCCACTGGAGGGTCAGCTATGGGTCTGTTCTGACTTGATGGTAAACAACTATATAGATATACTATTAAGGCCTATATAGTCTTCAATATAGACTGGAGTTAAACATTAAGAAGACAAAGATTCTCACCAATGGGCCAACTGGCAGCACCATGACGAATGAAGAGATTGAGGTTGTTAACAATTTCAGCTTGCTCATCTCCATGATAACACTCTTGGTATGAGCTATCAGGAAATAAAAAAGCAAATTGTATTGAGGAAATCTGCTGTTAAGGACCTCTCCAGAGTGCTGAGGAGCAATGATGTTAGTCTTCAGAAGAATTGATGCCTTTGAATTGTGGTGCTGGAGAAGAGTACTAAACATACTTTGGACAGCCAGGAGAACAAATAGGTCTGTCTTGGAGAGGGTGAAACCAAGTTTCTCCTTGGAGGTTAGGATTTTTTTGAATCTTTGTCTCACACACGGTGGGTACGTGGCCAGGAGGGATGGTCTTTGGAAAAGGACATCATGCTTGGAAGGGTAGAGGGACAGGACAGTAGAGGAAGACCTTGGATGAGATGGATTGCCATGACAACTGGAGCGATGGAACCCATCGTCTGTCAGTGAACTTGTCAGAATCAATGAAACTGGCTCAGTAGATATGGCAGGGTTCAGAGCTGTTGTACATAGATAGGGTCACTACAAGTTGCAGGCAACTCCATGGCACATAACAACAACAATCTCTCATATAATAGCAACATTCTCTCTCTTTCTCTGGTGGCCTAATGGCAAGAAGTTGTGCCGCAAACTCGAAGACACGCGGTTTGAAGCCACCAGCTACTCCGCAGGTAAAGGATGGGCAATCTCCTCCTTTGGGACTGCCTAGCTCTGAAAACCCCCCAGAGGGTCAGCTATGGTTTGGTTCTGATTCAATGCCACATAACAATAACAGTAACAATAACAAAGACTATATATATAACTACACACACATGAAAGGACAGACTTTCTTTTTTTTTTTTAAATTTTTATTTTATTATTTTTGTGTGAGTGTACCGTCAAAATCAGATCTGACTGGTACAGGAGGAGACTGTCCCTCCTTCCCCGGCAGAGCATCTGGTGGATTCGAACCGTGTGCCTCTGAGATTGTAGTTGCAGCTCCTTGCCACTAGGCCACCAGAGCTCCCCTAAGGACAGACTTTCGATCTTCCTCTAAAGCAGAGATCTAGCGAAAATTGTGTGAGGTTACCGGTACACCTATATCCGCGGGTTCCCGCTCCCCATCGACCCGCTCAGGTCCAACTACTTTAGTCTGGGCTGGAGAGCGAGCGTGAAGGAGTTTGGGAGAAGCCTCGCCCCGCGGCGATGGATTAGTCAGGCCTCAGAAAGATGGCGTCCTCGGAGCAAGCAGAGCAACCAAGCCAGGTAAGGAGAGTCGGACTCTCCTGCTGTAGCGGCGGGGACCCCTGCTGGAGGGGGCTTTCGGCGCACTGCTGTAAAGCAGGTGGAGACCCCGAACTTTCGAAGCTGGGGACCCCGACCTCTTGTCCCCTCTCGAGCCCCGCCCATCCCCGGGTCCTCCTCGCTCGGCCCCTCCCCCTGTGACCCCTCTTTGACCACATTCCACAGCTTTAGTTAGGGGGCTTGCTCGTGTCTGGCGGGCCCCAGCTTCCCGCCTGCTGCTCCCTCCAGCCATACTCAAGGCGCAGGATGTTGAGGAGCCCTCAACCTTGAGCTGCGAGGGCTCTTGCTTGAGCTGCGAGGGTGAGAGGCTTGCTCGTTTCTTCTTCCCCCCCGGGGAGGAGCCTGACTCCTTCAAGATGCCCTCTCCCCTACATCTTTGCGTCGCGTGGTTGCTCTGTTGCTAATCTCCTTGTGTTTGGTCAGTTTTGGCTCCTTTCGCCAAGTTGGAAGGTGGGGAGTGCACTTGGACCCTCTCTAGGTTGAGAGGAAGGGGACACTCTGTAAGTAAACAGCACACGCTATCAAGCCTTTGGCTGAGTATCCAACCTTGTTTCATTGGGTTTGGCTTTCTCGGCCGAGAGTTCTCCTCTAGCCTTTGACCCACAGAATCAGTGAGCTCAGTCGCGCGCCAGTGTAGACCAGGGTTCACGCTTGTGCGTCTGCTGTTGGAAAGCAGTGGACGATAAGGCCTCTGAAGGGATTTGTAGTCCAAAGGTGGGGTGGAGTGAAGTGAGGAGGTGTGAAAGGAGTTAAACGCACCTTCTCCTTCCTGAGTATATGTATAGCCTGCTGTGCGCAGTTTAGGTTTGTGACTTCTTTAAAGCTCATTGTAACTTTTATGCAGAGAGATGATTAACTCTCATTTTGTAGACAAATGCATTTTAAGGTTCTGTCACATGCCTAAAATCATACACCCAATTGAGTCTGGAATGGCACCTAGCCATAATGTTTATGTTTATAGTTAGATTTAAACAGAGGAAGAAGAAAATGGTTTCAGCCAGACACCTCATCATCTTTCACTTCCTTGAAACACCTTTCAGAGTTTCCTGCAGCTTAATGGCATATCACTTTCTTCGAGACTGAACACCACCAGCCAGTGTTTCTTACTGTTTATTCTTCCTCATGAGTCTTTTAGAGGAACTGCATTTAAAGGCATCAGTTATGTCCGGCAGTAGGAGGATTAACTAGGGTTGGCCCTTTCACTGTCATAAGGTCTGGAATTTGGGAACCATGGGACCCCCTTTTCCTGCTTTAATCCCCCTGAGTTTGCTGAAATGCTGAGGGTTTTCAGGGTCTGGGCTTCTCAGGCCTGTTGATAAGAAACAACCACAGGTTGGAATCGAGTATTTTCAGGAAATTTAATTTGCCGGTGCTATGAAAGCCACTAAAAGTCTTGCCACTTGGAACCATTGCAGTGCCAAGGAGTCTGGCAGTTTTGTCTTCGTTCAGATGGAGAAGGAGCTAAGTCCCTTTAAGGGGGCTTGGTCAGCACTTACTTAGTTTTCAGTTTTGCTTCTCCTTTCCAAAGCTGGTAGAGATGGTATTGCATTAGAATAAGCTGGGAGCGACACTTGCCCTCTTGAGTTCTCCATTGAAATTCTGTCTGTGCCTAAACTTGCAAAAGGATGCTTAAAAAAATATATTGTGGAGAAAAATTTATGCACACCAAAATATCTGCCGATTTATACTGTCCATATAACAATTTACACATTTACCCTTCAGTGATGTTGATTAGGTTTTGGGGGGTTTTTTGTGTGCCACTGTTATCCTATCATTTTCCAAGGTATTCTACTATTGTGTATTTAAACTTAAATTCTGCAGTGCTTGGTTTGTGGAAGGCCAAAGTTGTAGTAGAGCATTAGCTCCTTTTTGATTCTTGGTGTAATTCAGATGCCTTTTGAGTTCTTTCTAATCAGTAAACTAGTCTTCTGGTGTTTTTCCCTCAGGAAGAGTTCAGTTTAAAGTAGATTACAGCTGCCACATGGGCCTGGCAAGGGGCGTATTGCCCTCTGGACTTTTGTGGAGCACCAGGAAATTTGCCTAATCCTAATGATTTACCTAAAATAATCAGTCATAAGTCATGGTTCAGCCACCACAGTATCCTAGTGGCTGAAGCCCCAAAACCAATCCTGTAAGCTTTTAAAGTCTGCTGTTGTTTTCCAGTCTCAGTCATAGTCCCTTGCCAGTTTCTGCCTGCAACAATGATGAATTCTCTCTGTCACCGATTATGATTGGATGATTCTGTTTCCAAATGGTAGAAATGAAAGCCATGGCAGTGATTCAGTGAAACACTTCCAGCGTCATGCTGATGGTTTCCTTGTTCTGGAATGACCTGTCTGTTCTATTTATGTCTTAAAACAAAGGCCTTGATAGAATGTGTTCCACTTGTTGTTATGTGCCATCGGGTCACTTTTGACTCGTAGCAACCCTATATGTACAACAGCTCTGAAACCTGCTCTATCTTGAGCAAAGCTCATTGTTTCTGATGACCCTCTCCAAGGATTGGTCCCTCCTTGTAACATGCCCAGAGTGTGTCAGATAGAGCTTCAGAATCCTTGCCTCCAAAGAGTATTCTGGTTTCACCCTCTCTAGGATGAACCTATTTATTCTCCTAGCTATCCATGGTATATTCAATACTTTTCTCCAGCACCACAACTCAAAGGCATCAATTCTTCTGTCATCCCTAGTCACTGTCCAGCTTTCTGCTACATAGCAAGTAATTGTGAAGACCATGGCCTAGAGTTTTTTCCCCCACCTAGGAAACAGTTAATTTAAATTCACCTCTCTTCTACCACCCAAAAAAGACCCCATTGGTGTAGCTTTGACTCATAGCAACCCTATAAGACAAGTAGACTTGTCACATAGTGCCTGCAAAGCTGTTATTCAGTGCCCCTCCCCCACTATTATGTATTATGTGCCACAAAGTGAACCAAGTGAACCAACTCTCTCCTTAGCAATTGTTTATTTTATTTTCAGATCCTCATCATCCTGGTTTTCCAGTTCTCCAGTCAAAGCAAAATGGGATTGAAATAATTATTTGAATAATTAACTGCTAAACCTAGTTTGTACATGAGAAGAGCTGTATAGGTCAGACCTGTGGAACTGAGAAAGTAGTATTCTGTCTCATAGGAAGCTTATTGGCCTTGTGGCATCAGTCTCTGGTTTCAAAAGATTAAGGGTGAAATGCAGAGCATGGTCTCTGAAGCCAGACTCCTTAGTTTAGTGTCTAGTTCCACTGCTTACCAGATGTATCATCTTGGACAAATTACTTCTTTGATCTTAATTTTTCCACATGTAAAGGGAATGGTAGTGACACCTGTTTCACAGCGTTACTTTGAGGAACAATGAGTGAATTTATTAAAAGTACTTCAAACAGTGCCTGACACAGAGTGAGAATATTATTCAGTAATTATTCCGGGGAGATAAAATTACTAACAGAAAGGTTAGAAAGTTCAGGTCTACCTAGGGCATTCTGCTTCCAAAATTTCAACTGGTCAAGTCCTGTGAACCACAATTCTGCTGTGACATAAATGAGCTCACCAGGAGTCAGGGTTGACTCAACAGCAACTGGTATTATTCAGTAGACTGGATTTTTTCATTCACAAAATGCATCTAAACCTTAACTCAAGCTACATTGTAACATCTTTTGGGATGTGATGTTTCTTTCTTTTTAAAAAATTGTATTTTGAATGAAAGTGAAGAGCAGATTGATTTTCCATTTAATTACTCATAAACGTTTTGTTGTATGGCACTAATTATGATACCCTAAATGTATCCGTATTCTTCCATGAGCTCCCTGTGATTCTTGTATCTATTAATATACCTACTCTTTCCTTTTTTCTGAGACTTATCCTTGGACTACTGCCGCCTTTTTAAGATCTTGGTTGGTTGATCATGTAGGCTGTGATTTTTCATATCTACACCAGTAGTCCAATAAACCTGTTCTTTTATTTGTACTGAAATAACTTACTTGAAATTTAGAGAAACAGCCTGAATGTTGAGATTTATCCCAGTTGTCCTTTGTGACTTTTAGATTTCAGTGAAATACTTTTTCCTAATGGTAAATAAACTGTTCTCTTTTTTAAAATTTTATTTATTCCTCAAAACAGTTTGAGTTATTACATTTATTGCTTCATATCTTTTTTCTTGTTTTCTCACATTGCTCTATTCTGAACAGCTAATCTCTTATCAAGGCCCCTTCTAGTCTAGTCAGACCAGTGGAAAGGGAAAATATTTCCCTTATTTCTATACTATTCCACTTATTTTTCTGTCTACATTGAAGGGCAGAGTTATGATGAATGTGATTATTTAACAGTTGTTGAATATTGAATATTATTACAAAACAGATTTTCAGTATGTTGGGGTACACCAGGTATAATAAATTTTGGATTGAGAGAATGATGAGGCATGAAAAGAAGAACATAGTGAAATGATAAGAGACTGGAAGACACTACTTTGTATCCACACAGACTTTGGTTTGCACTCCTACTACTCACCACCTGTTGGACTTGTTTCTGTGCCATCCTGAGCATCGATTTTTTCCTTGTAAAATGTGAGTAGGACTCACTGGGTGGTGCAAATGGTTAAGAGCTCGTCTATCTATCTGAAAAGGTTGGTTCTTCAAGCCCACCACAGGTGCCTCAGGTAATAGACCTGGCAGTCTGCTCCTGATAGTCTTGAAACCAATGCAGCAAAAGTTCTACTCTGCAACTAATAATCACAACAAAATTGGAGTGATAATAATTACTCCAGAAGATTGATTGAAATTACAGATTTAAAGAGCAGCTGGCATGAAATTGGAAAAAACCCAAAAAACAAATCTAAATTCATCGCTACTATTTTGATTCCTATTCAACATCAAGAAAACAGATTCTCACCATTGAGCTTGTTGGTTGGCAGCTTCATGATAGACAGAGAAGAGATTGAAATTGTTAAATGTTCTTGCTTGGCCCCACAATCAA